GTCTACACAGTGAAAAATAAATTATTTTCTCTTTTGAGAATGAAAGCATTGTTAATATCTTGAGGCTACATACATTCACATAAAAATTAATGTAAAAGTATAAACAATATTTCGAAATTCTTTTGATAAAAGAAATAATGACTGTGCTGCAGCAAAAATGCCACAAAGACATCATGTTAATGCCATTAATACTAGACACATCAAACCAAGTCTGCTTATTTCTCAAAATAAGTAATCATAAACGACTTGTTGTAACATTTATGAGGCCAATGTGATAAGGTACTCCATAGCTGAAATAGTAAGCTCTGGCTGAGAATTCCTTTACCTTGTAGTTTTGGTTTTGGAGGAGAACAGTGCAAAATTTACCCTACTGAACTCTTTTATTTTTATTTCTTCTTGACGGAATGGTGCCGTAGTTAAAGCTATGTCTTTTATCAATTTTAATCTTCTCCACTGCAAGATTTATTTCATATTTAGTTACTAAATAGTCCTCTTTAGAAAGGATTGTATAGGTCTGCTTAAAAGCTGAATCACTTGCATGGAGTAAAGGTATTAACATTCGTTTTAACTTACACTATAAACACAAGTATACAAAATCTGAACACTGTTCAGGTGCAAAGACATCCACCTGTCACAAATTCCAAAAATAGGAATAAGGATTCCTTAGAATGTTTGCTTTACTTGAGTTATTTATTTGTTGAGAAGTGATAGCACTGCTTTTGCATCTTCCCTGTTCTTGTAACAAAATGTTTAATGTCAGCAAATTTAATCTGTTTAAGCTGTTATTTGTTGAAGGAAAAACATGATATGAACTTATGTTTAATCCACATCTGGGCAAATACAGTCCCTGAAACGTTCCACTTCCCCATTTTCCAGTTCGTTCACCGTTCCTTCACCGTGCACTCTCCGTTCACAGTTGCGTTCAGCGTTCATCGTGGGCTTGCATTCACCGATCACAAAGCGTTCAGTGTGCGCTCTTTGTTCGTTCACTTTGCGTTCACCTTGTATTTACCTTGCGTTCAGCGTTCACTTATCGTTCAGTCTTCATTGTCATTCGGAACTCTGATGTGAAAGGACTTATCAATTAAAGGGAGAAAGAATGAGAATGCGAGCATCTACAATTTTTCAAAATTTATGCAAGACATATGGTGTTTAAAAAATCATCTTTTTTATGAAAATGTTTTTTTTAATAAACTTAAATATTATGTTTTTTTTTAATAATTTAATATACAAAATAAATGTTGTAAGTATTTTTAATTAGAACGATACTGAAAGATTAAATTAAAATACAGTAATGTACGGATATTTCAGGTGCAGCAACATTTTGTTGTTATGTCAAAGACGACAAATCATTGATAAAGATAATAATTCAAGTCAATTGAAAAACCATCCTGCAGCATAATTACGAAAATATTCATTTCTAACACATTTTCCAGTTACTATAGAAATACGTGTAAGAGCTAGTTTTGAGAATTATAAATATCATTATGGATTAAATATCTACCTTGTGGCGTACATGTACACAGAAAGCATGGTTAAAAAACATTAATTAAATTGTAATACACGAAAAAAGCAAAGATTTGGCGGAACTGAAAGGATATAAGCTTTTCTACTTTATATTTAGTCATAGTTTATGATTAGAGAAAAAAAAAATACTTTTCGACACTGTAACTATATATGTTTGCCGTTCGATATAATAAAGAGCCCCCACCCCCCTTTTTTCTTTGTAATCAGCCACTTACGCAATATTTGTAGTATATATTTAATTAACATTAAACAAGAAATCAATGAGTTTTATGACATAAAAATGTCAGTCTCGAAACATACATCTATTTAAGAATTTTACGAATATCAGCAGTCTCGTTTAAAGTAATCATTTCGTAAGTTCGATACAATGACCTTGTCAGCAAATACAATTAATCTTTGAGTCAAATGCTGACTGACGTTTTTCATACTCATTGTCAGGCCATTATTTACACACTGAATTGTCCATTATTTCCCGATTATGACAAGGAGCACACGGCGGGTGTGACCAGTCAGCAGGGGATGATCACTCCTCCATGGCACCTGATCCCACCTCTGATGTTTTGGAGGTCCTTGTTTGCTCTGTCCTATTTTTTATTGTTTAATGGATTTTTGAGCTTGAATACTGTTCGTTATCTCTATATATTTCATATGGGAATTGTAGTTCAAAATACATGTGCCTGCAGTGGTATTTGAAATGGGCATAAAGTGTGTATGAAATTCATGCATCTTAATCATTGAAAGTGTTTATGTACAACGTAGTTTCTTTTTTTTTTTTAAATGATGGATACTGTTCTAGAAATGATCTGGAAAATATATAAAACTTCTTGGAAGTACTAGGACTTCGTCTTCGGAGTGACGAGACTTACACAGCAACACAGTGCCATATGATTTTGATTGACAAGACAAGCACGTGGACTTCATGTGAACTTGAAGCAGACCAAAAAAGTTTTATAAAAGACTGACTGCCAAACAAACGGATTTGTTAATAAGAATGGTTTAATAACACTGCCTGATATAAAAAAAAATACAACTCAGAATTCTTGTTTGATACAATACATGCATTGTGGGAAGGGGAATTAGAACAAATGAATATTTATGGGACACATCCATAGACCTATGCAAAGTATTTCTAATTGTGATTTTTTTTTTTTTGGTTTATTCTCCGAATGTCTACTCGCTAAAACAACTATGTAATTATCACACACAATTAAGAGGTCCTCTAAGGGGTCCAGGTAGAGTTTACCTGTGTCACCTTGATTTAATAAAGTAGTCTAGATTAAATAATTTAATATTTACTAATAAAAATGTGTACTAGAACTAGAGGACATATTTATTGAATAGATACTTGAAATAATTGAAGGCACGGAACAAAACAGGTCAAGAAAAGTCAAATAAGCTCTTTATTTTTATTTTTGATTCAAAAAAATATTTATGTAAATAAAACACATTATTTTTGTATTTTTTTTACAAATTGATAAAATCTCCAAGATTTATAATTTCCTCTGAAAATGTAAAATAATAAACATTTTTTTTATCAATCTTTCAATGCTGAAACCATGTTTCAAACGAGATGCCTTAAATATCAAAAAAATTAAAATGTGGTGTAGAATTCCTCCTTCAATAAATGCAGATATAGTTAGATCATAAAGGTAATGATTATCTCTATTTGTACCCCTTAGAGGGCCCCTTAATTGAGTGCGATAATTAGATGTTAGATTTGTCCAGTAGACGTTCGGGGAACACACCCTTTTTCTAATATTTCACACTGAATCGCCTTTTTACGGAAATATATGTATGTTTGTAATTTATCCTATAAATTGGACATTTCCCCTTCTAAAATTTGTAATAGTTCTACAAAATTTAGTATAATTTAGAGACCAAATAAGAATACACATATCTATTTTACAGAATAATTTTCCCTATTGTAATTACAGAATTCGATATCATTACAATGTTTCTTACAGCGATTGCTTTTCTGTGACTAAACATAATAAATATGTGCAGAGAATACTGTAAGAAACATATTTAATGTGCATGAATCATCATTCTAGGAACAATGCGGGGACCTCTATTAATTTATTTATTTAATTATTTTTAATTATTTATTTTTATATATTTATTCTGGAAATGTTCAGAACAAAAAAAATCAATGTGGTGCGATATAATGTCGGCACTTTAAATATCATTTATTCATGAGATTTATTTATTTATTTATTTTTTATTTATTTATTTATTTATGTACTGAAAATAGAATGCATATATCGCAGGGAAAAGATCAGAGACAATCCGAATAAATCGTTCATCTTGCATTCACCGTTAGATCACCGTTCACTTTGCGCTCGCGTTTGCGTTCGTTCACCATTCACTGTTTACCAACCGTTTACCAAATTGCATTCAGCGTTCACTCACCGTTCGCTCTGCGTTCGTTCACCGTTCGCTCACTTTTTAAGTGGGAAAGTAGAACGCTTCAGGGACTGTATCAAAGTAACGAGTCTCTGTCAACATATAGATATAACACATAATTCATATATGGCTCAACACAAAATGAATCAGTATACTTAATTGTTATCCATGTTACAAACCATTTTAAATTCAACCTTTCAGTTTGAATTCATGTCAAAACAAAGTCTGAGTAAACAAGAGTTCTGGCTATGAGGCCGTAAAACTAAGATGAGCTGACTTTTAATCTCAGTATTACTTTTCCACTTTAATTTCTTTTGTAAAAGTGAGATTGGGATCAAAAGTGAGCTCATCTAAGTATTATGAACCAGGGGCCTGGTGTTTTAATATTTTCTACCATTTTCAAAGTTTTAAACTTCCATTCCGTTAAAATAATATACATTTATTTTTGAAAAATTAACCCTTGCAATTTTTTTAAAGTCTTGACTTTTTTGTGAAATTACAATAAAAATGAATGAAAATTGAAATTTACGTTTCATTTTATCTACCCAATATACATTAACTGCACGATATATTGGTCAAAATGAATTAAATTGCATTTAATGTAATTTTGTTTACAAAATCTTTAATTGTGCGAATTCATGGTCTTTGTTGAATACATACTAAATAGAAAAACATACTAAAAAGTACATTTCAAATCAACAACTCAGCTAAAATGATGTACCTACATGTACATGTTGGCAAATTAAGTTTAAGAAGTAGAACATAGATAAAATGCAGAAGCAACGTGTCATTTTAATATCAATATAAGTTTATGTAAGCTGGGTACACGATGGCTTATCTAGTGATAAAAAAGGTCATATGATTTGTTTTAACTCAACTGAATAGTCATTGCAGTCACAGTTTCATGCTCATGCAGTTACACTGATACAAAAGATTTAGCAGGTAAAAATCTTATTTCATTCCCCCTTTTTACATACTTTTTCAAAGTGCATGTTTTTTTTCATCTTTAGATTTGATTATGTTTCAATTATGATAACTAAATTTTACAGAATTTTGAAGACGCCGATAAAATGGACCCCAAATTTTGTGCCCAGGACATCATAAAATGTGACCTCTGTAAAGACAGAGTTGTACAAATGTACTGTAACTTATGTCCAATGAATCTGTGTAAGGACTGTGTGGTGGAACACATTTCTGATAACTCAAAAAAACATGATGTGGTGCCTTCTGATTTGAGAAGATCTAAACTTCTTTATCCTCAGTGCCTAAAACATTCTGAAGAGATTTGTAAAATGTACTGTGAAGATTGCAAAATTCCAACATGTCACAAATGTGCAACTTCAAAGAAACATAAGAGACATCGTTTCACTAGTTTAAAGGATATCATGAGCTCCAAGAAAGAACGTATTGAAAAGGAAAGAAAAAGGTTGCAAGAAACAGTCTTATCAAGAGTTGAAAAAAATTCTACTGATATAGAAGCCCAGCTAGCTGAAATAGACAGAAAATATGAGAAACTTACATCAAAGGTCACAAAACATGGAGAAAAATGGCACAGGGAAATTGACAAAGTTATAGAGAAAAACAAGGAAGAAATCAACAAAATGAGAAACCAACACAGAGATGCCCTCAATAAACATCTAAATAATATAAAGAAACTTGTTGCTGATGTAAAACAATCTATATCAGAAATTGGGGAAATTCTACAATCTAAAGAAGTAACCAGATCTCTTTTCTATGATATAAAATCAGATAAATTCACCAAACTTCCTTCCAAACTGAAAGTAAAAAAGTTTCCTGTGTTTACCGGAAATCATAGCCAAGAAAACTTCTTGCAGTTATTTGGTTCTATATCACCATTATCCATTACAACAGAAGATCATGACTACACATTGGTGACACCAGAAGCTGTATCCTATCCTCCATATGATCCACTGCTTGATGAACCAGAGCCCATCACCACCATAGACACTGGTTATAAATATCTATACAGGGTTGCCTGTCTCAGTGATGAAGAAATCTGGACATGTAGAGAAGACAAAATCATGAATCTCTACAACCTCCAGGGCAAACTACTGAAGTCATTCCAAACCAAATCTAGGAACATACCATGTGACATAGCAGTGACCAGGTGTGGAGATCTAGTTTATAGTGACCCTGATACAAGAACTGTAAACTTAGTTAAGAATGAACAGATACAGGAAGTGATCATACTACAGGGGTGGAAACCTTTCTATGTCTGTAGTACCTCCTCTGGTGACCTCCTGGTTACCATGGACAGTGATGATGAGAAACAGTCAAAAGTTGTCCGTTACTCTGGGTCCACAGAAATACAAACCCTTCAGTTTGATAGTGAAGGTGAACCTCTGTTTTCATCTGGTGATCTTAAATTCATCAGTGAGAACAGGAACCTGGATATCTGTGTGGCTGACTATAAAGCCAAAGCAGTAGTGGTGGTTAAGCAGACAGGAAAACTCCAATTTAGATACATTGGTCATCCCTCTACTACCAAGGGATCATTTGATCCAGTCGGCATCACAACAGACAGCCGGAGTCAGATCCTGACAGCAGACTTTACTAACAATTGTATTCACATCCTAGATCAAGACGGACAGTTCCTCCGTTACATTGATAACTGTGGTATAGGCTTCCCATGGGGTTTATGTGTAGACACCAGGGACAACCTCTTCGTGGCTGAGCACAACAGTCGTAAAGTGAACAATATTAAATACATTCATGTAAACAATGTTTCTTGAAATTTCATTCTATTCAGATAAGAGTGCAAAATAAATCAGGACATGCTTAAAATTATTCTTATAACTATTTGCAACAATACACCAAATTTGAGATATTTGCATTCTTATAATAAACAAAACATGATGCTAAACTTTCATATGCATTTTTGCATTCCATAATAACTAGGGATGTCAACGAATATTCAAACATTCGAATATTCATTCGATGAGTTGATATTCGAACATGAATTTATGATTCGAATATTCAGTTTTCTAAGCTTACATAAAAGAAATAAATATGGAAAGTCATTTTTTAGAAAAGTATTGAATTAATCAAGCTCAATTTTGATTTATTTTTACTTTGTGTTGGATGTTTCAGAAGTAATACCCTCGAAATCAAACGTTTGACGATATTTTAAGGTGGATAGTAATAGATACGTGTGAACACACATTGTGGTATATCCAGAACGGTTTTCTGATACCTTTGTAATAAAATCCTGTCAGTCTTGCAATACAATTAGAAATACATGTAGAATTGCAGAAGCAGGTGTAGTAAAACAAATATACATTCCTATTATAGTATCTTAAATGCGTGAGGGGAATATCTATTAAAATAAATTTATTTTATTAATTTTTGAATTAATTGTTTAACAATAATCAGTTTGTATTGTTGTAAGTGCTCGATTTAATAAATTAAAATAATAAATGCAAGTATTTCTTGTTTAGATGTTCATGTATCTAATTAAAAATCATTATCGGGAAACGAAATTGCCTTTCAAGGTGTTTGTTTTTGTTATCAAATATCATATCAATTAAGGTAATTCTTCTGCGACCGATAATTGTTAATCCTGCGCAGAACACATTTGAAGGCCTTATCATTTTAGTCACCAGTAAGACGATCAATAAAATAGAATTTATTTATTTTATCGAATATTCGAAAATATTCGAATACTCCTACCGAATATTCGAATATGAATTATTGACAATTTTGTCAAGCCTTAGTTATAACAAATATTTTTATAACTCTATTATTGAAGGTTGGGGGAATGAAATATGAGGAGATAACGAACAGTATTTGAGCTCAAAAGTCCACCAAACACAACAAAATAGGAGCAGATTAAACACGCACCTCCGAGACAACAGAGGTGAGACCAAGTGCCATGGAGGAGTGAGCATCCCCTGCCGACCGGTCACACCCGCCGTGTGCTCCTTCTCATGATCGGGAAAAACGGAAAAATACATCGACAATTCAGTGTGTACATAATACCCTAACAATTAGAATAAAAAAAAAATCAGCTTTTGACTTGATGAAAAATTGTATTTGCTGATAAGCTCATTGGAACGACCAAAAAATTACGAAATGAAGATTTTAAATGAGACTGCTGATATTCTTGTTTCATCAACTTGTTTTTTTCAATAACGTACCTCGTTTTATAAATTTTTCATATGTAGAGCATACGTATCGAATCAACTGAGAGATATAAACGCCCTATGAATATATCTTTTACCCTGTGCATCCATCTGTCTAGCTGTCTGTATGTCTGTCTGTTTGTCCACAAAAACTTTCATCTTGCCAATAACTTTTAATTAATTCGACCTATAGCCTTCATATTTCACATATGTATTCCTTGTGACAAAACTTTTCTTTGAAAACCAACATGTTTGACCTCTTAACCTTGACTTTTGAGTTTGACCACTTTTGTAAAAATTTTACCAAACTTTAACCTTTGCAATAACTTTTAACAGTTGGTGCTAAGGCTTTCATACTTTACACGTGTACCCCTTGTGATAAGACCTTTCCTTCAGTATAAATATGTATGGTCTTAACCTTGGAGTTTGACCGACTTGTTAAAAAACTTTAACCGCAATAACTGTTAAATGGTTATTATTAGGACTTTCATATTTCACATTGTGTTCCCTGTGACAAGACTTTCCCTTAAGTACCGACAGTATCGACAGTTTTGATCTTTGACCTGAATCTTGGAGTTTGACCAACATTTAAAAAACTTTAACTTTGGCCTTAACTTTTAAACAGTTGGTGCTAGGACTTTCATATATAACAGGCGTATTTTTGTGACAAGACATTTCCTTGAATACCAATATTTTTGACATTTCGTCTTGACCTTTCAGTTTTGCTCCTATTTTGTAATATTTAATGCATTTTTGAGCTCGAATACTGTTCGTTATCTCCACATATTCTATTTTACCTACTTTCAAAACACTTAACCTTGGTTATAACTTTTGAACTATTGATGCTTAGTAAGGGAATTCATGTTTCACATGTGTATTTCTTATGACAAGACCTTGCCTTGAGCACCATTAATTTTGACCATTTGATCTTGATGTTTGACTTACTTTTCAAAAAACTTTAACATTCACCATAATTTTCAATAGTGATGCTTGGGTTTTCATATTTCACAGCTAATTCCCTCAGACAAGACCTTTCTTTGGGTAACAATATTTTTGATCTCTTGACTAGACCTTGGAGTTTGACTTGCAATTGAGAAACTTTAACCTTCACCATAAGCTACCATGAGATTCACAAACTCATGTTGTTATTTTTTGATGACCATTCACAAGATATGGAAATTTCTGAGTTTTATTTTAATTGAAGAAGAAGTTGCTATGATATCAGAAAACTTAGTTTTCAATTTATCATGAAGATTGGTTGTATAGAATGTTGAAACGTCATCCGTTTTGAAGTTACAGCCTTTTGGACGAAAAACGTAATTTTAAAACTTCTAAAAGTTCAATTAAGTTTTTGATAATCCACATTTGATTGATACAATTTATAGAATATGCAGTTGGACATTTCGACTCATTATTAATTGATTGATTATCTGTTGTTTTACGCCGAGGCGGTGGTGTTTCAGCCATATTTTGGCGGCAGTTCGACAGAAATTTCTCCTTTTCAGCAATTATTTTTTTGTGCAGAGTAGAGGTAGGGTTTGGCCTTGATCCGTTGACTTGACTGATAAAAGTATTGGACTGAAATGTGAGTTTGAAGAGTTTTATTCTTGGAAAGTGAACTGTGAGTATAAGTTGGATTTTCAAATGTAGAACTAAAACCAATTTCTTTTAAAACACAGCTATAATTATATGCCTTACAAACATAGACGATATTGTTACAAGCCTTGACTTCTTGAACCATAATAAAATGTTTATGTAGTCTTTCTTAGCATTTCTTCACTTCCGATTTAGCGAAAACGGAAGGCTGGATTCTTAAATGTATTTTCAAAACACTAAATCCATTCTGACAAAGTGTTCAGGTCTTCCTCTTTATATTTTGCCCAATATCTGGAATACATCTTCATAATAGAAATGCACTTCGCCAAATGAAGTATAGGGGTTTATGACGGTATATATTGTCGTTTTGTACATATTGTCGCTGGCAACATTATGTACTTAACGCTCACTGTACATATCGTCGCCTCATAGATATTGTTGCTTAATGATTTTTTTGTTGTTGTTTTCTGGTAGTTTTGCGAAAGTAATTGTTTCATGTGTGAATCACACTGACATGTCTCGTATGCCATTTCATGCAGCCTGATTGTGACGGTACATTTTGTCATCCAGTTCATATTGTCGCCGGTGACAATGTACCTACATTCACTGCACATATTGTCGTCCTTTATGGCAATGCATGGCAATGCTTCCATGTATTACTAATCATTGCTTTCCTGTTTTTTGAGAAGATATTTAAAGAATTCTCCTACATATTCCTATGTAAAACTTTGATCGCCTAATGTGACCCCACATTACCCCCTTTGGGTCATGATTTTAAGATACGTGTACTAGAATATACACTACCCGAGGATGCTTCAATATAAACATTACTAATCACGGGCCTACTGCTGTTCTCAATGGTGGATCTAGAAATTTCAGAAGGGGGAGGAAGCGCGGTTCAGAATTTTTGTATTTTAAATAAATGTCAAATGTGTTTGAAGGTGTGTTACTGTATATTTTAATCTAATTATTTCATTTTGAAACTTTACCTGTGGATTAAACTGAGAATATATACAATTAAACAATCAGACTTTACAAAAGCCCCCCCCCCCCACCACCACCACCATAAAATCAAACGAAGGGGGTGCACCGGTACTAGATCCGCCTTTGGTTCTTCAGATGGTTTTTAAAGATTTTCTTTATATATTTCTAGGTAAAATCACCTATTGTGGCCCCAACCTACCTTTTGGGGTCATGATTTTAACATAATTGATTATGGTTTTGTTTGTTTGTTTGTAGTTTAACGTCCTTCTTCAGAATTTTTCACTCATATAGAGACTCCGCCACTTGCCGGTGGAGGGCTGCAAATCTAGACCTGTACTCGGCACTCAGAGCCTTTGAGTAGTGAGCGTCTTTTTCGTGTCAACACACACTAAATTTAACATACAGTATGTAATGAAACATTCACATAAGTATCATCTTTTCTGACCCAGTAGTTTTTTTTCTATATATTCTATGAAAAACTTTGATTACCTATTGTAGCCCCACCCTTTCCCCCCTGGGGACATGATCTGAATAAAATTGAATCAAAACTGAATCAACACCTAATAATGAAGCTTACACGTAAGTTTCAATTTTTCTGACACAGTGGTTCTTGAGAAGATTTTTAAAAATCTCTAATTTTTATCTATACTTCCCTTGAAAGAGGGCATGGGCCTTATTTGAACAAACTTGATTCCACTTTATCCGCGAATGTTTTGTGGCAAGTTTGGTTGAAATTGACGAACTAGTTTTTGAGAAAAAGCTGAAAATGTGAAAAGTTTACAGACGGACGGACAAATGGACGACGGACAAAATGTGATCAGAAAGGCTCAGGTGAGCTAATAATGTCAACTCAACCACTAATTATATCAGCACATGTATAAGAATACGCTAAAAATAATATCCAGAAAATCATTACTACTGAACTAAAAAAAATATTTCAATTTCAATTAAAAAAAAAGGAGAAAAAAGAATAGGCTTATTTATCATATATATCAAGAAATATGGTATCTTGACATATCATAGTGATGTAT